ACAGTGGATATATGTATGGATTGTGATAAGAGTTGTATGAGCCCCCAGTAAAATGATTAAAAAAAGAGAAACCCTTCTAAATAACTAGAGCATCTCTAGCATGGTAATACAGTAATAGGAATGTGGCCTTGATGCACATGACAAAGTAGCATCCACTTGTTGTTACGTACATTATTACCATGATGTACCTAGAATCTTTAATATAATGGACTTTATGGGGCCAGCTTGTAACTATGGGTTAAGTCACATGTTCATAAACCGAGGGCTGCCTGTATTCTTTTTTTTTCTTTTAACATTTTTATTAGCATATAACCCACGTACCCCACAATTAAAGAGTTCAATCATGCCTGCACTCATTGAGGTCCCTGTGCACTCTGCTTTGTCTCAGTGGCCCGGCAGAGAGGTCATCTCTCCCATGAAGTTCCCATGGCCCTAGTGGAAGAAACCTTCCCCTCCTCTGAGCTTTCCCAGCAAGTCATCGGCCCTTGTGTGATGGCCCTGCCCACTCTCTCTCCTGGGCTGAGAGTTTGAGAAACTCCTGGAAGTGTGTTGAAGTACAAGGGAGGGTCTAAAGGGTCCTAGGAAAATTCCACGATCTTTTCATTCCATTTATCGCAAATTTTCTGAATGCCCATTGTACAGACTCCTGAACCTTGTCTTTGGGGGGACATTCTGACTCAGCAGGTCTCGGGTTGAACCCACGAGGTTGATTTCTGTCTTTCCGGTGACTCTGATTTACAGGAGACGTGGGGCCTGCAGTGGGCAGGAGAGGAGCCCTGGAGGTACAGTGGTTAAGAGTTTGACTATGAACCCAAAGGTCAGCAGCTTGGACCCACTAGCTGCTCTATGGTGGACAGATCCAGCAGCTGTACAGCCTTGGAAACCCTACGGGGCCCTTCTCTGTCCTGCAGGGTGGCTCCAAGCTGAAGTCAACTCGACAGCGGTGGGTTTAAGAAAAGAGATGGAGCTCTAGAGATACGGTGGTTAAAGCGCTTGGCTGCTAACCCAAAAGTCAGTGGTTAGAACCCACCAGCGTCCCCATGGGAGACAGACGTGGCAGTCTGCTTCTGTAAAGATTTACAGCCTTGGAAACCCCATGGGGCAGTCACACTCTGCTCTAGAAGGTCAGTATGAGTTGGAATTGGCCAGATCAGAGTGTGTTTGGTTTGGGGTTTGGATGGGGAGGGGTGGGAACATGTCAGCTTCGGATGGGAGCTGGTAATTACTCTGAGGTTATCACTGCTCACCTGCTGAGGACAGTGAAAGTCCACAGAGAAAAATTCTGAGCATTTATTAAATCGCGAGACGCCCGGGGAGCCTGCCAAGCACCCTCCCCTACAGGGTGGCACTTTTTCACGCCACATCTGCACCCCCTGGGACGCTGTGCCAGATGAAATGGGCAAAGAAAAGGGTGGGGGGAAAGCATATGGGGAAATCTGGAGAGACGAAGAACAAAGCTGTGGACAGTCTGCACACCTGAGGAAAAATCAATGCCAAACACCTTCCTTGACAATGATACCTTCACAGTTAGAAAGTGAGAAACGGGAGGGGGTACGGAACCCTCACTGCTACCAGGCAGAGTCCCAAGAGCCGGGGGAACTGCTTCACCTCGGCGGCTTTGACTTCTCATTCAAACGGGAAACCTGCCCAGGCACAGTGAAATGGAGCGTTGGTGGGGAGTTTGGGGCCCAGATTTCTTTTTGCTCCCAGGAACAGATGATGACTTCTCTGTGATGCTGCCCCAAACAGGATTGGACTCGGTTACTTTTGAGGGAGTGCGTGGCAAAGAAGGCAAATCACTATTGCTCCCATTCCAGGGCTACCCACATGGGTCTCGCTGGAGGAGGCCGCAGAGAAATGCCCACTTCAGCTGTGAGAAGACAGGGCAACGTCAGGCCCATGGTCCATCAGCAGTTCCCCTCTCCTATTGCGCGTTCAACTCTTGGGCAAA